AAACTGAGTACTGTAAAACCCTGTAAGTTAAGGCAACTCAAACCTTTTGAGGAAACCAATTGCTATAAACCATTTGAGTTAAACTAATCTATATGAATTCTGTAAACTTACTCCATTTTAGTAATGAGGTATTTAATTAACTCATTACCTTCAACACTGAGTTCAAAACTCTTTTCAAATGAGTAGATTTCATTTTCAGTCATTTTTGAGTTAACTACACTCATTTCATTTGATAAAGTTGGCTGTTGGGTTTTACAGTGTTATTTATGTAGATTAATTGCTATTTATTTTCAATTATTTGTACAATCCCCTAACAATAAAGGAAGTCACATTAGTGATGCAAACTTAAGCGTCACATTAAAATTATGACATGAAAATGACCAATTTCTGATAACTGAAAAATGGCAATGGAGACCTTTATGAAATAGAAAGAAGAAAAGTTGAGTCAGCAGTGATTATTATTTCCAAATGATAGATTTTTGTTAAACAGTAACAGCAGTGTCACAACTAAAGGAGACCACTACTTTCATTCTATATTTTTTACTAATATTTATTAATTTTCCTTTTTAATTATTCACATCATATATTTAATTGTAATGAATATATTATTGGATTTTGCATGCATTGAAAAAAATGATTCAAAGACGATTTTGTGGATTTTTTTTTTAAGTTAAGTGGTTGTGAACAATTTATTTGGGCTGAATTTAAACAAAAAACAAACAAACAAACAAATAAAGTTAAACATTACAAAATTTAATTTGCTTATTTAAATTTAACAAAAATAAATAATTTGCAGCGTTTGTAAGCTTTGCATACATCACAAAATTTGTTTTTGGGTACAAGCAGTTTAGTGACCCAATTGTTGCCACATTGATGACTCAAAAAGCTGTAATTATGCTATTGTCATTATGACAATTCAAACTGTGCTATTGTCTGTCTGACAATACTGTCCTTTACACATTCAAAGATTATTCTGGTGTCTGTAAAATCCTTTACACAGATGAATTGAGAGTAAATCCATGGGTCTGGTGTCGCGTTGCGTTCATATGATTTTAGCATGAACTTCATGGCATCGTCTGTGTTCTGAATGTTGCCTAAAGGTGGCGACTAGACACAAAGAAAGGGTAAGAGAAGCAGTTATTATTAGTTATGCATAGTTATGCATAATGCTGTTTCACTTCTATTAATCTGCAATGGGAAAATAACATATGAAAATTAACTGTTTTCATGTATTTTGTTGTTTATGTTTTGATTTTTACAAATTTATTTATGTTTTTAATTCCATTGTGGGACCACTTATTAAGTTGAAACGTTTGAAAAAATAACTTTTGCTGACATTTGTAATATTTCAAAGCTATAAATTGACTGGATTGGTACAAAAACCTGATAAACCATCAGTACTTTTTTCTATTATTTACAAACTGAATTTTCTCTATAATAGCCTATTTCTTATACAAAAATAACCTTTTAAACTACAAACATGTCAATAAGTGTCAGTCTGTTAAACTTCTGAGATTCATTTTCAGCATCAAAAGTCAACAAAGATTCAAGGTCCCATAATGCAATTCATAACTATAAATAAATAGAAAACACTTGCAAATCACAAAATCAGAAAAAAATTAGTTAGTTAGCAGTTTTTTTTAACCTTCAAATTCAGGAAAGAACGTTTGTAAATGTGAGAACTGAATCTTCCTGGCTAGGATGTCTTTTTTGTTCAGTAGGAGAAGGATGGAGGATTGAGCAAACCATGGCGAGTGGGTGACAGAATTGAACAGAGACAAACTCTCCTCCATGCGGTTCTAGAGACAAAAAGAGAAAGAGCACAAAGATTAACAGATACAACAGCAGAAAGAGACACCAAGATAAATACTTTAAATACAAGGACGGTGACTAGCATTGCTGTCAATGGGAGAAAGTGCCACCTGCATAATAGTAGATCACGTTTTGACATAAGAGACAGACATGTTCATTAATTTTGGTCTTTGAGTAAGTGGAAAAGCCATTTATTTGCTTCATTTACGTGGTAGCTCATTTCAGATTTTTGTTGCTGATTTGAAACATTGGAAAATATATGAAAATAGCTGCTCACATTGGAAATATGGTTATTTGGTCACCCATTACAATAAGGTTTCATTAGTTTCTGTTAGTTAATATATTTACTACCATGAACTAAGTATGAATGATATGTTTACAGCATTTATTAAGGATAATTCAACATTTACTAATGCACATTTAGGTTTGTTAACATTATAGGTAATGCACTGTGCATTAACATGAACAAACAATGAACATCTGCGTTTTCATTAACATAAACTAACATAAACAAAAAGGCCATTATTGTATAACTAGGCCTTATTAAAAAAACCTTATTGTAATGTAAATTTTTTTTTTAATTTTAGGGAAAGATGACAGCCAGAAACCTTGTTATTCTCCTCCAGAAACTCATCGTACTCGCTGAGAGAAGCTACAAATATGACAGTTGTCACATTTTCAAAGTGATGGATCCATTTCTTCCTTTGTCCTCTCTGATAAAAGATCAGAAATCAAACAATGTCATCTCATACTTCTGCGGTGTTGAGTCTGCGTGAACTTGAAGTTGCCAAGATTGTTATTATGTTGACGTACTTTTAAGAGAGGTGTGGGTTTTTAAAAAAAATTTTGCTGTTGCACAATAAAACAATTTATTTCTGATGATTACATGGCAACATACAGCAATAAAAAAACAAGCCATGATTCATTCATTTTCTTTTTGGCCCAGTCCCTTTATTAATCCGGGGTCGACACAGCAGAATGAACCGCCAACTTATCCAGAATATGTTTTTATGCAGCAGATAACCTTCCAGCTGCAACCCATCTCTGGGAAACATCCATACACACTCATTCACACTCATACACTATGGACAATTTAGCCAACCCAATTCACCTGTAGTGCATGTCTTTGGACTGTGGGGGACACCAGAGCACCCGTAGGAAACCCACGCGAATGCAGGGAGAACATGCAAACTCCACACAGAAACGCCAACTGACCCAGCTGAGGCTCGAACCAGCGACCTTCTTGCTGTGAGGCGACAGCACTACCTACTGCACCACTGCGTCGCATACAAGCCATGATGTCTGAATAAAATATTAAATTGAAAGAAAAAAAGGTTGAGGTCAAGAAAGACGGACGGCCACTACAAACATGGAAAATTTTGATTAAAGATTACAAAAACAAACCTTTTTTATTATATTATTTTTAATTGCATTGATCACATTAGAAGAAAATGGTGAGCTAGTAAAATAAACATGGTACATTTTGATTTCATTCAAATTTTAAATAGTGGCAAATCGTACTTTGTTAGAGGGACTTTTGTCAAATTGTACTTTGTTAAGGGGACTTTTGTCAAATTGTAATTTGTTAAGGGGACTTTTGTCAAATTGCAATTTGTTAAGGGGACTTTTGTCATAAACGCTAGATTTAGAATGGTAATCAACACATGTATGTATATGGCAATGTTGAAGTATTTAGACTTAGCGGTATAAATCTGCTATGCTGCTGCTGCTTTGATTAATATGGCAGAGCAAGTACTGAGACCTGCTACTGCCAGTCAGGGCTGGACTGGGGCAAAAAAAATCGGGCCTGGCATTTTGGGCCAGAGCGGCCCACTACATTCAATCAAAATGTTATCTATCTGTGCATGTCCAATATGTTTATCAACTCCTATATTATAAAAACACAAAAGCCATATATATGAAATAAATAAATAAATAAATGCAGACATTAATCTCAATTTAATTTCTGTATACTGTCCATAAAGATATTTGTTCAGTTAAAAAAAATACACTATTCATTTATTTATTTTCCTCCGCCTTAGTCCCTTATTTATCAGGGGTTGCCACAGCGGAATGAACTGCCAACAATTCCAGCATATTTATGCAGCAGATGCCCTTCCAGCCACTACCCCGTATCGGAAATCACCCATACACACTGCCTTAGTCCCTTATTTTTCAGGGGTTGCCACAGCGGAATGAACTGCCAACTATTCCAGCATGTTTTATGCAGCAGATGCCCTTCCAGCCACTACCCCGTATCGGAAATCACCCATACACACTCATTCACACACACACTCATACACTGTCCGATATGCACTATACTCTAAACTGCCCGGTCTGCCAGATGGCCAGTCCACCCCTGCTGCCATGAAATATATAGACATGGCATCTGAGAATATAACACACTGCTGCTGCAAACCTAACATATATTTATAACCCACGTGGCGGATCTAAATACAGGTGGAGCTGGGGTGGAGGAGGGTCTCCAAAAATGTGCTGCAGCTACGTATCATTTAAACTGATGAGGAGCAAACTCACTGGCTGCCAGCAGGTGACATCAACCAATTTCCTGCACCATGATGCAGAAGCAGATTAGGTGACCTATCAGCCTGTGCACATATAGTTTCATAGCAGAAATTTCACTAGTTGATCATGGTCTTACCTAAATGTGACAGAGTTCATTGGAATGGTCAGCTCTGCAATGCCATAGGTGGGAGAGTGGGTACGGAAAATATCTGCAGTTGTGGGGATGTAGTTGTTGGCGGTGATCTGCTCCAGTCGATCAACAAAGCTATAAAACATATTTGTTATACTATGTTATTAGTTAGAAAGCAACAACAAATTTCATGAATGTAACTGAAACTCAACTGCATTCATAAAGCAACATGAGGAAAAAACATTAATAACGAGAACTGTTCAACAAACTTACTATTCTAGACTAGTCAAGTGTCTGTGATTATCTTTGCAGAGTTTGAAGCAGTTCTTAAAGCCTTCATCTGCCCATAGATGACGAATAGGCTCTACAAAACTCTGCAACTCTGTTATCTGATGTGAGTCTTGATTCTGGAACTGCTGAGCATAAATCTATAAACATCACAGAAGTAAGGAGACTGACAGTACACAACAAGATACAATCTTTCTTAAACTGGTTAAAGCATACACGCAATTTTCTAATCACACGATCACATGGCAGCAACTTAATGAACTTAGGCACGTAGACATGGTCAAGACGATCTGCTGCAGTTCAAACAGAGCATCAGAATGAGGAAGAAAGGTGATTACAGTGACTTTAAACATGGTGGACGTGCCAGACGGTCTGGTCTGAGTATTACAGAAACTGCTGATCCACTGAGATTTTCACACACAACAAATCTCTAGGGTTTACACAGAATAGTCCGAAAAAGAGAAAATGTCCAATGTGTGGCAGTTCTGTGAGCGCAAATGCCTTGTTGATGCCAGAGGTCAAAGGAGAATGGCCAGACTGGTTCGAGCTGAAAGAAAGACAACAGTAACTCAAATAATCAATTGTTACAACCGAGGTGTGCAGAAGAGCATCTTTAAACAAACAACACGTCCAACCTTGAGGCAGATGAGCTACCTAAAAGAGAACTGTAGCATACCACTTTTTGGTTACCCTTTGCAAAGGGTGCCTAGCAGGACTAAAGGGTGCCAAAAGGCAGAGCTACAGTAGACACACAGCTGAACGCTATTGGTTTGAAGAGGAGAAAAACAAAGGAGAAGCCTGAAAAAATGAAAGAGCGAATGATTTTTTCAGCAGCCTAAAACATGAACAGCCCTGTTTAACTATTACCATCACTTTTTGGACCATTATAAACTCAGAATGATGGTATTACTTTCTAACAAGATGTTACATGTGCTAGTAAAGATTAAAGACACCAATAAGAGGTTTGCACTGACTGTAGGTGTCACCGACTCGGTCCTAGTCATTCCCCTCGCTGGCCAGCAGAGGCCACCATCTCCGGACTTCTAAGCATTACATCATCCTTTTACCGTGATCATGCACACCTGAACTGAATCCCGCTAATGACCCACGTACCCTTTATAAGCCAGCACCAAACGCTCACTCAGTGCGAAGTCTTGTTTAGCCCCGGCCAGCATTTCTGAGCATGATCCCTGCCTGATTTCTTGTGTATTACTCCAGCCTGTTTCTTGACTCTGCTTCGCCTTCTGCCTGCCCACGACCCTTGCATTGTATACGGACTCTGATACTCGCTGCCTGCCCACGAACCACGCCTGTTATGCGGACTCTGATGTTTGCTACCTGCCCACGACTCACGCCTGGTTCACGGACTCTGATACTAGCAGCCTGCCCTCGATCTATGCCTGGTAATACTCACTGTGTCTATCCATCGCCAGTCTTTATTCATCATAGACTGTTGTTGTTGTGTGTTTGCACATTAGTGCATGTTGTGTGTGTGAAGGAGAGCTTGAGTAATAAATACTGCATAATGGATCCCTCCATGTCAGTCTCCTCGTTACAGTAGGCTATGTTGCGTGTTTTTGAATCTAAAAAAGGACTAAAAGTCTGCTGTGTGTAGTTTTTTTTTTTTTCTGTAGTTGGTAACATATCAGAGACTGTAAGGGTTTGTATGTATTCATGAATGTTCATTTATGTATTTATTTTATATAATTGCAGACGTTACAGTAGGCTATTTCACACTGATCTCACTTGCCATTGATCTGCAGTTATAATCAAATCATGTTAGCCGAAAATTTAGCAATGAACATTTATTACTTTAGAGACCAATGGAAGACTTGAAGTGTCATCTCACCTATTACAAGCAATTTGATTTCTCTCCTTTCTCTTTTCCTCTGCTCAAAGCTGAGGTCGATTTCCTTATTTTTGGTATTGGCATTCCTCTTATTTTTAGACAAGCAGCAGAGGCAACATCCACAGTAGTAGTAATCCCCCATTTTCTCCAACAAAATTCAATCAAACTGTATATTAAAAAATCTGTTGAGGGTTTTTGTTCGGGAATTATTCTATATTATTATCATTAATGTAAGCAACACTTAAAAACAATAGGCTATTTAGGACAACTGCATTAATACATCTACATTAACACACAAATCCAAACATCTCCCACATTGTTGAGAAAAACTCTACACATTTGTAAAAAAATATGTTTTTTTTTATAATTGCATTTTAAAACAATCAAACAAACACACACATCTTAAAGGGTCACGAAACGCCAAAACACATTTTTTGAGCTGTTGACAGTCGTATATGTGTCCCACACTGCTAAAAACACTATTAGGAAACCTATATTTCACTAAAAAGTGTAAATTGGTTGTTTTTGCGTTATTTCAAGCAAATTCGTACTTCAGGTTTGAAACGAATTTTTGAAGCTGTGTCACGGCCATGACATAATAGCGTTGTATTCCAGCGTGCAGACTGGGCGTCTGTGCCAGAGTGAGTCTTATTACGTCTTACAGTGTGATGCATTAATGCATGAGTAAGGCTTGGTTCAAACCAATCAGCGCGCTCTATTGTGCAACTTCATTAATATTCATTACTATCACCGTGTTTTCAGGACAGAGACGCCACCTTGTGTTGGCAAAACAAGCGTGAAGTGTTGTTTTTATAGTTTGCTGCAGTTAAGTTTCGTTTTCATTTTCTCTCTGTGAGAGCTCAGAGTCACGTGTGGATTAACAGTGTACGCGACGCGCGACAATAACTTGCGTGTCTAAGGAGGATTATTGTTTACCTGAGAGCTGTTCTCATATGCAAACGCTGAGATCTGGATTCGTTTGTAGTATTCTCTCCATAAAGACGCGGCTCTAGTTGCTGGTGATTGTCCTGTCTCTACAGATTTGGTAAGTGAGCGACCAGTGCTCTTTGTTTATTCAGTTTGTTCCTTTCTAACAAACTATTGCACAGAGTGTAAACACGTTAGCACGTTTTTCTCTCTCATTCGCCGTGCGGTATCAAACATTGCATGAAAAATACAGGCTTAGAGCAGCTCCTCGAATCAAATATCTCGTGTGTCGCGAGGGGCATGAATGAATTCCCTGAATGAAAGTGCCAAACTGCAGTTAAAGTCCACCATTTAATAATTTGGCAAATAATTCCACTACAGATGTCCATGTAGGTTAAACACCATCACTTTCTCCTGTATGTGTGTGTGTGTGTATTTTGACTCTGAAACTCGCGTGTGCCCAAATAGACACTCCCACACTATCCCACTTTTCTTCCTCCGACACTCCCCCCTAAACAGAGCTGGACACGCCCACTTTTCTGACTTTTTCCAAAGTAGAAGTGTGAAAACACCCTGCTGAAACGAGGGGGTTTCATGGCCCTTTAATGATACTAATAAAATAAAGTCACAAAGAGGAACAAAATAGGAAACAATATTAATTGTCCTTATAGAAAAAAAAGTGTCAGTGTTACCTTGAAGTTATTTTTTTATGCAGTTTTCTGTCTACTGCCTCATGTGTGTACACTACAAGCTTGTTGCATTTTCTGAAAATAAAGCTTTAATGCATCTCATTTCAGGTATGTTGTAGACAAAAAAGAAACAAAAAGGAAAGTCAAAGGAATGAGCCCTGACATTCCTCAACTGGCCTGCTGTTCCAATTTGTGTCATAGGTATATCAATACATCCACATGTTAATACCAAGTGTCAGGGTATGGGGTGAAAGCAGATGAGACGAAGACCCAAGTGCGGGATTTGTTTTTAAAAAGTAAAAAAAAAACAACAACAACAGCTCAACCTCACTGAATGACCATATTGAAGTGTCGCTTCAAACTGAAGTGTTTAGAACTGGCCAGTTGTAATGAAAGATTTCAAAGGGTACAATCGATGGACATTTCAGGTCCCTATGAACCTTTGAGCAGGAAAAGTTCCATTTCGAAGGGCTCATCCCTATGCTCTAGTACCTTCAAAGCTGTCACACTGGAGGATAAGACTTCAAAGCATAAGCCCTTCTGAATGGAATGCAGTGCCTGTCTGGGCTCTGTTTTTGCGAGACCTAGGCTGCGTCCGAAACCGCATACTTCCATACTATACAGTACGCTAAAATTAGTATGAGAGCCGAGTAGTATGTCCGAATTCATAGAATTCGAAAATCAGTATGCGAGAAGTACACGGATGACTTACTACTTCCGGCGAGATTCTGGAGTGCGCATCCCATGCACGCTGCGCTATCCCATGATGCCCCACGAGAGAATTCATGAAAAAAAAGTGAAGCGACGCAACTGACGCAGGTAGGTCACATGACCATGACAAAATTGCGGATGTAGTTGTTGGAATATCTTGCCAATTCCATGCGTGTTCAATAAGAAAAGGTCTGGAGAGATTTTTCTTCAATGCCAAAAATATTACTAATTTATTAGATACAAATGAACACTTCGATGACAGAGCTCTGGGTTACGTTACCCCAATGCAATACAAGAATTACATTCAGGAGGTTCGCAACTAACATACATTTCCTGACTCCAGCATATATACACAACTGATCTTAACAGGTGGAGTTTTGGTTTAACGTCACTTATCAGTCATTCTGCAGTCCCTTGGTTCTTTGTAACCCCTGGACATTACTTCCTCTTTCTGCAACCCTTCTCTGCATACCAGAACTGAACAATTACGTGCATCTTTAATATATTTCACAACTTCTACAAGCATCATGACAACTTGTGACAAGTCTAGACTATAGTTCTGGAACAAAGGCCAACAAAAAGTATGCAGCACAGTAAAAAAGAGAAAGTTTGTCTGGTCAAGATGTTTTATAATACAATAGAAAAGATTGATTAATTTGTTGTTAGTCTAAACATTTTCCTA